TTTGCAGGAATTCATTCTTAGAAAACAAAAAATTATACATAAATTGTGTTTTATAAATGACGGAAGTAGCGACATACCATATGTTTTTTGTGTTACCCTTTGTTCCGGTTGAATTTATTAAAGTAATACAGAAACTTTTCTGAAATTTAAAAATTCAATTAATATAAGGCACTTACAGAGTAAAAATTTGAGATTAATTTGGAAACTACTCGCTAATACTACATACGTATGCACAATATTTAAAGTAATTTATCAAACGGCTGTTTCATTCAGTATCTGTAACCTTTGATATGCAGAAAATGAAAAAATTCTTAAATTTAAAATGTGAAATAAGGAAGCTGTAGTGAGCCTTACACTACCCGTATCATTGCTTCTTTATTCATGCGAAAACTACATTCTGAAAAGTGTTGAATATAAAAATAGAAAAACTTATAAAACACTGGTTTTAAAATTGCAGCAATACCGTGTTAATACAAAATTTGACAATCAAAATTCATAAAGTCAAAGGCTGATTTGTGTTGGTACTAAAGTAGTAGATCTTCATAAATGCAATACTGAAAAAAATAATTACAGAACGTAGTTCTGCAAAAATCTAACGTGTTAAATATATGCAATATATTTTTAACTATTCTATAAAATTGAAACACTTCATAAGAATTACTAATAAGAATTTCGCTATATTGCGAAAACTTAATAATATTTATGAACAAACTAGATCCGCAACATTATTGTTCATGAATCAATATAGTGCAGTTGAAACAGTTCATGTGTCGCGTAATAGCGCGTTTATGAAAGGCCTATAGAATCACTAGAATTTTGAAGTCACGGTATATTTTTATCTGAAAAAATATGAAATGAATAAGAATCTTCATCGCTAAATTATTTTTTTCTTTAATAAATTAATTTCTTAAATTCAACTGAAATTTATAATATACAAGTAAGATAATAAATTTCAAGATATGGTATGTTGCCAAAAAAAAAAGATTTTAAATAAAATTTCACAATAAAATACATATACAAAAATTTCTTTTAAAATTATTGAATTCCTAGTAATAGATGCTAGTTGAGTGATTTAACGTGAATCATTTTACTAAATAAAAAATCTCTTAATCATTTTTCATATTTCATAACTCTATTGAAATTTACAAAAAATAAATTTTTATATTTTAATTTGAAGGGGTAAAATTTTCTTTGTTTCTATTAGGTATGTATGTATAATCTCCAGCTAGACAAAAGCAAGTGGGAGACAATAAAAAATTAATATTTCAATCACCTTTGTGTAAAAAATAAAACTTATAATTAATCACGAGAACTTACAGCATACGTTTTATTTAAATGTACTCATTAAATGAAAATAAAATATTGAAAAGGAAAGAAATTAAAATTTTAGGCTGCATTAAAACTAAAATTCAAACACGCAAAATATGATTTTTATAACAATTATTAAAGGTAATGTAATAATATTACCACTTAAAAAAGCAGGTACAATTTTATTAGTACCAACAGGCTCCATATAGAAATATAGAGTTAATCAAAATATCTATATGGAAAAAACCTTCCGCATTTTTTGAATGTTTGAAATAAACAACTGGCGTACTTCAAAATACGCAGCCATTATATATCCCTCAAAACCACTACAAATCACTATATATTTTCTTATCTTTCCTTAAACTTTACACAAAATATTAAAATTTTGACATTTCCTGCCCTTGTATTAATTATTTGAACTTAAAGTTGACATGTTCAACTCGCAATCAATTCATAAAAATAAATAAACGCCGACAGCATTTTACAAAAAACAAAGAATTCATTACAAAATGCTCATATTTTTTCACAATTTTATTCGAGATGCGTTGTATTGTGTCGTTTAGTGATATCATCAAGAAACCTTTAATTTTTTGATTAAAAATCCTTTATAAACAATAAAAATTATTAAAATTCCTTTATAATTGTATACTTGTTTGTTAAAGTTTTGTTTTTTATTATTGGCGCTCGTTAATAGGCGCTCATTTTATTATTAAGTATATAATTTTAAAAATTTCCATTAAATATTTAAATACCTAGTAATTAAGGTTAATTCTTTAATAAATATTTAAAATATATTAATAAATTCATTTAAATAGAGTTTGTATGCTAAGTATACACAAGTTAGTAGAAAATTGTGAGATAAATTCATTGAGTTTTACGAATTACAATTCTGGAAATTTAAATTAAACCATTTTGGGCTTAACAAAATTAGGTACTCCAAATTTCTCTTCTTATAATGTATCTCTATAAACATACCTACATAATCAAATAAAAAGTTTAAATTATGAACACGAAACAGTATGAGATTTTTTTCTTTCTTACAAACAAAGTCCGCTTTAATCAGACAGTTTCTTTGTATTCGAATTAAAAATTCCTTTTTTCTATTCCGAAAACCTCTTCAGTCCTTTAAGACATTACATAATTTCACTCTTATAATATAATAGATGAAAATTTAAAGAGAGTTTTGTATTAGAACCCCCGGATTCCTTTTCAAAGAAAGTGTAAAGTTTTGATTTCTAAAATATGTGAAGCTAAAAACTAATTTACTTTACTTTTTTTTATTATTTTTTTTTTAAATTTCAGTTTGCTATTGTAATCGTTTTGTAATACAAATATTCTATAGGAACCGAAAAAAAATATTAGAGGCAATATAGAACACCCATTATGCACTTAAAGTAATCAGAAATCTTCTTAGATGTTGAAAATAGAGTATGAAGTTTTTATAAAATATTGAGCTTATATAAAAGATGATAATTATAAAAGAAAAATTAAATGAGTGAGATGAAAAAAAGATTCTTAACAGTAATTGATGATATTTAATAATGGCGATTAAAACAATCAGATCCGAATTGAGGATTTTCTTTCAAACCTACCGGAAACTCTCCATTCCGTACTGCATTCTTTGTCATCAGAAATATATTCAACTCCTTTTTTAAAATTCAACAAATCCGCCAGACACACTATTTTCGAGACATACATACATTTGTATAGTTAAATTAGAATTTCTCCCAAAATCATCTACTCTTCTGCGACGGAATAGTACACAGTTGAAACACGCGCCAATCGTTTTTTAGGCGTCTATGTATCCCATGGTATTTTGGACATCTTGCCTAAAAGATAGTGTCTCTTATAAATTTCAAACGTAATGCTAAAATTTCTACTGCTTAACTCCAGTGTATCTGTTCTTGTCTCATTCCACCTTAGACATAATGGTTCAGTTGTCAGAAACAACTGTAAAAACATACCGAATCAAATTGGTTTATTTCTTATTTATGATGTTTCTCTGCACCCAATTTGGTCCCATTACTGAGCAACTTCTTAACGTTACTTAATACGGCCCTGTACTAGTCATCAACTTCAATATAATTAAATCACCATTTAAGATCATTTATTTTTGTGTTTTTCTCTTCAATAATTTTCCATGTATGTAGGTTTTAAATTTTTTCTAAAAAAAAAAAAAGAGTAAATGGTCATATTTTTTTTTTCGTAAATTATCAGCACCTACCTTTTATACCTACATCTCTTATCGTCATTTTATCTTAAGTATAATAAAGGTTCTTGGGGACATTAGAGAATTTCCCTAAAAAGAAAAAACAAAAAGTATAATAGTTAGAAAATTCAACTAAGATTCTATGATGCAATATTTTATATCATTTAAAATGAATTGTAAAAAAATATTCTTGCAATGTGATTTATTTTAATGATTTTTTTTTATACTCGCATAATGCAAGTGAAATTGGACAGACTTTGAACCTATCATTACGTGATTGAATGTAGAGATTTCCTTTTATTTTATTATTAAAAAAAAATTGTCCCATTATATTATATTATATATGAATTTATTTATAGATATATATAATTATAATATTAAACGAAGCACCTACATGTATAGTACACATTGGGCTGGCACATTACAAAGAGAAATTTTTGATTTTTTCACGTTTCACTTCATAGTTCAATTTTTCAAGGTAAAAAGGGTTCGTTTATATTTAAGTATACGTAAATGTGTGTACCATTGGATATTATTTCGTATATTAATAGTGTTACATTGTTGCCGGCGATAATAATGTTATGTATACGTTCACTCATATTTATATTCTTAGTGCACGCTCTTAAAAAAAATAATTAAATACAAAAGAAGTTATTCTTTTTGTTTTTCAATGAAAATATAAAGAATTAATAATTCTAAAGAATGAAATTTTTTATTTTTTGTGTTTTTTCATGAAGTTATTTAATATTCGCTCCAGGTTTAAATTGTATTTTTGAAGACGTTCCGAAATAATAAATTTAAGAATTTCATTGATGAACAAAAAAAAAAGAAAGTATGTATAAGAAAGAAAGGGGACCATACATGTATGTATACAAGAGAATATTTACAATAGAAGAAATGAAATTTGATTCATACGTTCTCTAATCATCGGAGTTCAAATATAAAAACACGCTTATAACAATATACAAGCAATATAAATACATACATACTTTTTTATGGAAGATATCAATTTATGAATTACAATGAAAATCCCTGACTTTAGCATAGATAAATAAAAAAATCTAAGGATTTTTTTTTTAATAAATTCAAGTCACAGTTTTCTATTTATCGTTACAGTGTAATTTATTGGTTCTTTGATATTCTTAAAATTCCATAAAAAGCGATTTGTCACATTATTGCATGTGTGCTTATAAAATATTTCTTATTCTTTTATTATAGATTCACGAATTGCTAAAATAAAAAAAATTATTATTAATTTCCATTATTATTATGAATTCTTATATAAATATAATTAAATTTTGGAATTCCAGAAATGGACATAATGATATTTATAATATTATAGGAAGAAGAATATTAAAATTTTGAAAATGAAATGAATTGTGGGTTTTATTACAATAGAAAATCAAATTGATTGACTTTCCTAGAATGTACTAAACAGATAAATAACACAGGAGTTCGTCATAGTGATATATAGCCACCAGTAATGAGATGCAAAGGTAAGTGGTTGTTTTTAAATTTCAAGCTGAAAATAATAAAAAAAAATTATATTAATTAATTTTATGTATAGTATTTCAGGCTAAGGTAATAGGTAAGAGAATTGCACCTCGCAGAAATTATTCGAAGAGACGACAAGACCAGAGAATTTTGCGTTTTTAAATATAACATAGCTTATAATAGCTCTATGGGTCTTTTCCGGAAATAATATAAAATTAATAGAATTGAGGGAAATGAAACCGGAATCGAACTACTTATAAAGGGATTTTAAGCCGTATTTATGTCATGTTTCCCATCACTGATTTTGATATATAAGTTTATTGAAAGTTACGACCCTTGTGTATAACAGGATTTGTTTAAAAATAAAATGCTCGTTGGAAAAGATTTCTTATTTTGAATATTCAGTTCTAATTTAGTACTATTGTGTATTCAGTTTAATTTAGTACGATCAGAGATTCAAACAAAATGGCAGTTTTCTTATACTTAGTCCTAATTTAGATATCTTACTTCAAATTAATGTAGCCAATGTAGTTCCGAATTTTTAAAATCAAAACACTTAGACGTATACAATGAACCGGATGAAAAATATTTACTTACACTTATACGTCAATATAACAATGTATGCTGCTTCTATTGTGAATGATCCTAAAATAATAAAATCAAACCTTCTACGTGCTAAATGTATATAAATATTCTTAAATATTTTCTTCCAAAAAGAATTATTGAATCGCACCTCTTAAAATCAATGTGGCGCCTATTATTATGCCATTAAATAAAAGGAATTCCTTTTAATGTTCTTTTAACCTTTAATAATAATTGTCCTTATTTAATCGTTTTTTTCCCATAATGTTATTCTTTCCTTATCCTTTCATAAATTCCTAAAAAAAAAAATCAACACTTCATTGTAACAATTTAAAATACTGTTATAGGACACCACATAAGAATGTTTGTGTATAAGTTACAGTACTGGCCGCACATGTAGACATGTTCAAACAAAACTCTTCAATATTAGACCTTTTCTGGGTTTTGGTGGCGTTCTTATAAACCAAAAAGCAGAAAAAGAAAAAAAAAAATTGTTTTTTTCCAACTTAATCACGTATTAATAATTTTCCATTTTTCTCATCCTCTCAAGAAATGAGTTGACCCAGTAAAAAAAACATTTGGTTTCTGTTCTGTTAAAGCATTCATTTTATATTAAAAAATTTAAACTCAACCATTCAGTAAAGTGATCGTTTATTCTACTAAATGAATAACAATATATGAGTTTATGTTTTCGGTCACCAATTATGTGCACATTGTAACCGACCCATGATTCATAATAATTTTGTAAACTAATTGATAAGTGAAGAGCAACAAATTTTGTTCATAATGACAAAACGGACATTTTATTGCTCAAAGTGTCTTCGTCTTCAAAGTATTCAATTACATGCGATTATTATGAATTTTTGTTTTAATTTTGCAGTTCCCTTTTTTCACATATGTGTTTATGAAATATTTGTAATTTTTACTAATAAAATGTGGTGGCTGTAATGGAGATGCCTGTCACACATTGCTTTTTTTATATTATTTAATCAAAATTATGTTAGAGAATTTTGTAAATTCCAAAGAATTCTAAATAACATCCAAGGCACATGAATTTGAAGTTGAACTAAACAATAGTGCTGCGGTTAAGGCATCGTTCTTTAAATTGAAGGATCTCAAGTTCAAACCCTGGTCTGCTCGTTATAAAATTTATACCTTATATAGCTTAATATATAATCTTATAAAATAAAATGTTAATATAAAAGACCCATATACCAAAAATAATCAATAAATATCAATAACTTTCAATATTTAATATAAAAGAAAAGCCTATGGAAGAATAGTCACCCGCCTAATCAACTCAATGACTTACGAAACTGGAGCTTAAAAATTAAATAGTACCGCAGAGTCGAAAATTAAAGAGGAAAGTGTCCGCCAATACAAAAGCTGAACCTTAAAAAGTATACTCCCGAAATTTAGTGACTAAATTTATACAGAATTAAATCTGTGGTTTCTAAGGAAAAAAAAAGAATTATAACGTCACCAAAATAAATGACCATTTTAGAATAATTTGAAATTCCATTCAAGTGTTTATGTTAAAAAAAAAAAAAACAGAAATACCAACAACATTATGGATTTTTAATTCATAAAACTCAAAAATATTTTTGTGTCCTGATCTTTTTTTTTTTCTGTTTCTTTAACATTTTATTAACGTCTCAGGTTACTTTAATATTTAATCGTTTCTTTTTTTTTTGCATAAATTTCGGATTTCCATGTAAACTCTTGTAAAATGTTCTTAAGTTGGTTCAGAAAAATTTTTTTTACATAAATTCTGTATACAAAAATTTTTTATATTGGGGTATTATGAATGCGTTTTGTAAATTTATAATACTAACAATGAATTAAATCGCGTTTCCGACAAGAGACACATTTGATACGCACGACGTACTTTATTTATGTATTTGGTTGCAAAACAATTCAAAACTATTGTTTAGTTGGTTTGTATCATGCGAAAAATGCGAGTTGCTTTAGTGAGACTAGGGTAAAAGTATTCTACTACGAAATGGAATTAATAATATTTATTAGGATGCCGATCTACATCAGCGAATTTCAGATTGAGATACTTGTAGTGCCTTTGATCACAGAAATGCCGACTGCAAGTCGGCAAGTGTGAATAGCATTTTGTAATAATACTATTTTATTGAATTTTTTTACAAGAATTGTAAAAAATTCAAGGAATGTGTTACGGAGGTGAGGGTCGAATGTCTGTTACTGACCTAGTATCATGGTTAGTACTTTCTTTTAAAGTTAACGGTAAAGCCGTAAAGAACATCCTAAAGTTTTCCTAACAACTCTTAAAATTTTCTTATTTTCATTTTCCTTTTTTTTAAATGACATAAACATGAAGTGTTTCTTTTTCTCTTTGTAGATTTTTTTTTAAGGTGACTTATCATACATTTTGTACACATACAAGCTATATTACAAACTTAATATTTTAGACAAAAAAAATGAATGTTATTGTTTTTTAATGTTTGTTGTTTCCTTATCCATTCTTTATGTAATTTCTGGAATTATGAATGCAAAAAAGTGAAAAAAAAAAAAATTTAGTTCCCATGGTGTTTTCTAAAGTGAGAATTTCGAAAAAAAAATTTTGTTTCTTATTTTTAAAAGGTTTTTCTTTTATTCTTAGTTCTTACTCTGGTCTCTCGTGACCATTGTGTGTGTGTTCTGAATATTCAATTGACACACTACAATGAAAACACAAAAAAAAAAAGTGAAACATCATTGAAAAAGAAATAAAAGAAAATTTATTGCATTCATTACCGGCGTTTTTAACTACGATTTGTTGCAGAGAGAAGCAAAAAAAACAAAAGGAAAGGTAATTCAAGGAAGTATTCAATTAGATGCACTTGATTGACTTTTTTTTTTGCAACTTGCATTTGCAATTTTACCTTTAAGTCTTTAAATAATGCAAAATTTTATTGTTGTCAAACAAAAAAAAAAACAATTAATTTTTTTTAATGAATAAATTGAAAATTTTCCTTAAAGATTTCTTGAAGTTATTTAAGCAAAATCAGGGGGAAATAAAATAAAAATGAAAACTGAATATGGGATTTAAACAGACATTTAGGAATCAATTGACCTTTACGAAAAATTATCAACATGCAACTATCATGAAAAATTATCAACTTTTTTTTTTGTGTCCGGAAGACTTCATGATAATTGCAGCGTTAACTGATTTCACTAAGCAGATGCAAGTAAACTTAATATTTGTCACAAGATTTATTTAATATGGACACTTCAATACGATATTGATAATTTAATGACTGTACTGCAAAATCTGTATTGTTTGCATACTCGTACTATTTAAATTTAGATTTATTAGATAAATTACTTAGGCCAAGCATCAATTATCATACAAACTAGCATTGCACGAAAGAATCAAAATCAATCATTTAGAAACCGAAAATGCTATTATTAGTTTGCCCAGCAAAATCGTAATCATTTAATAAGGAAGAAAAAGGAAATTATGGAGAGTTACACTATTCTATGGATACTACTATTATATAATCCACAGTTAATGATTAACTAATTAACATGTACCCTTACCAATACTAAGATCAAAATAACTAGAATTAGAATTGAAGGCACCCAAAATATTGGTCATCGGATCCTATAAATCACATCACCGATTATCCTATGTGAGCACAACATTTGCAAGTCTAACGATAATAGTCTATCTTCATACGGTTGCAACCTAGGAGGGTCAGACCAACTTCAACCATGCAATGCGAAACAGAGAAATCTCTTCTGAACAGATTCCATCTCAGAAAAATCGGTAATGAATAGAACAATAAGGCGTTTAAGCCTAGCACACATACTTCGCCTATAGAAATGGGTCCATAAACAACGAATAGCATTTTAACTTTTATAAGAAAAATTAAGTATTTATTAATTTTAGAGAAATTTAAAAAATCTCTTAAAATATTTAAAAATCATTCTTGAATTCAAAGTTTCAGCATTGTTAAAGCGGCCTAAATTAAATTTAAAAAATTATTTTAAATAGCAATTAATAAGAATTTAGTGCATTCTCTTCATTAATCTTAATTTTTGCTAAAAATTTCTAATTTTGTTATACTTAAATTGCCAGATTCTTTAAAATTATTAATATCCTTTTTAACGTTACTAAAATTTATTGGAGGCTGTTTTATTTTTTTTTTGTTTTTTCGTCGGCTTATAACAAAAAGTATCCTATTTTTCGGTTTCACTAACAAAAAAAAACAGAATTTTCAATTTGTTACTTGCGGTACTCATCCAAAATTCTGAGAATAACTAAAATTAATTTTAAAACAATCAAACGAGAATAAAAACGCTCCTTATAATAGAAAATATTATGTTGTTTGATCCTTTAAAATAAATATACGTTAGTTTGATCCTTATATACTGAAATTTAATTTTGAAATCGGTTTTTGTTCGGCTT